TTTTGCTCATATTACATATATTTGGTGAAATTTGATATTTTTTTCCAAAAACAGAGGGTCTGAGGAGGTCGGCCCGGCGTCTAAGACTAGGTTTCAGACTCTAAGATTCTACCCGGGTGGCAGCATCCTGTTCTTCTAAAAAATATTCCTCTTCTTGATCTTTCATTGGTTTTAGAATTTTTATATCTTGGAGAAGTTTTGTAGCATGGAAACTGATCTTCCATCCTTCCTCAATACTGCCGGTATACTCAGGATTAAATGGCTAGCAGAGGATGAAGATGATGAGTACCCTACCAAGAAGAATATAGAGTAGAAGACGAATGAAGAACAAACTAGAAAAATGAATAGAGTACTTGATATTAACATGCCTGAGTCTGGGAAGTGTGTGAAAATGAAAAAAAAATTCTCCTGAAATTGAAAAACCAAAACTAAACAAATACGTAGATAATCTTTAGAAAACAGGTCCCCGGAGAGAAAGGATTAGAGTTGAAGGAGGAGCTTGGATTAACCCTAGAACCTGAAGTTACAAATATACTCCTGGATTCTGTAATACAGGGATTCAACAATGAACAATTGGATCCGGATTATCTAGTGAATTAGAAGATACAGATAAACAGCTGAAGACCCAGCCAGTCACTTGTCATGATTGCAGGTGCAACCAAGTTTGTCACTTTGCCCATGAGTGCCCTGCAAACTATGAAGGTTGATGTAGTGGAAGTGGCAGAGGAAGTGGCAGCAGTGGATCTGTCTCCTACAGGTGCGACTGTTTAGGTCACTTTGCCTGTGAGTGTCCCAAAGGAGACGGAGGTCGTGATGATAGATTACGTGGAGGTCAGGATTGTGGCAGGTATTGTGAACTTGGAGGCTATCATGACGGTGGATCCAAGTGCTACAAGTGTAACAGGCTCGGTTATTTTGCCTGCAAGTGCAGCAAGGAAGAAGACATTTGTTACAAGTGTCACAGATTGCCTTTAACTGTAACCATGAGGAGGATACCTGCTACAACTGCACCAAGGTTGGTCATATAGTGAAGGACTGTACAAGTGCTGGGACCAAGAACTGCTACAGGTGTGGTGGTGCTGGTCACAGTAGTAGGACTTAGAACTCCAAAAACAAAGATATCAAATTTACGAAATCTATCATGGCATAATGGCAAACTTCAAACTGGCATAAATTCCTTAATATTAATGATACAAACCTCTAAATGGTGTTTATCAGGTGGAAATATTACAATATTACTCTGAAAAAGGAAGACGACTTTAAGAATCAAGTTATAACTTTAAAAAGCCCAGTGAGCATGAGACACGGCAATTGTGCAGTGGAAACAACCATATTTTACTAAATTGGTGTATAATAAGTGTCTAGTAAAATTCTTTATTTGCTTTGTAACAACATCAAATACACCTCAATATTGATATAAAATTGTCTTCTGATTCCATTGTTTTCTGGTTATCACTGTAGATTTAGGAAAATGTTTAAAATGTAAAATATGAATTATGATGAGAGCTATATTTGTAAACTTATAACTCACCAAACTTAAATCCTGTAGTGCACAGACCATCCTAAATACATTATAATAGCTTAAATTGGGAGCAAAACTGTTAGGTTGCTATTTTTTTTTTTTTTTTTTTTATCACAGTATGGAACACTACCTTGTATTCCCAGATATCACAGTATGGAAAACTACCTTGTATTCCCAGATATCACAGTATGGAACACTACCTTGTGTTCCCAGATATCACAGTATGGAACAATACCTTGTATTCCTATATATCACAGTATGGAACAGTTCCTTGTATTCCCAGATACCACAGTATGTAACACTACCTTGTATTCTATATATCAAAGTATTGAACATTACCTTGTATTCCCAGATATCACAGTATGGAACAGTACCTTGTATTCCTATATATCACAGTATGGAACAGCACCTTGTATTCCCGGATACCACAGTACGTAACTGTACCTTGTATTCCCAGATACCACAGTATGTAACACTACCTTGTATTCCTATATATCACAGTATGGAACAGTACCTTGTATTCCCAGATATCAAAGTATGGAACACTACCTTGTATTACTATATATCACAGTATAGAACAGTACCTTGTATTCCCAGATATCACAGTATGGAACACTACCTTGTATTCCTATATATCACAGTATGGAACACTACCTTGTATTCCCAGATACCACAGTATGTAACACTACCTTGTATTCTATATATCAAAGTATTGAAGACTACCTTGTATTCCTATATATCACAGTATGGAACAGTACCTTGTATTCCCAGATATCACAGTATGGAACAGTACCTTGTATTCCCAGATATCACAGTATGGAACACTACCTTGTATTCCCAGATATCACAGTATGGAACACTACCTTGTATTCCCAGATATCACAGTATGGAACACTACCTTGTATTCCCAGATATCACAGTATGGAACAATACCTTGTTTTCCCAGATATCACAGCATGGAACACTACCTTGTATTCCTATATATCACAGTATGGAACAGTACCCTGTATTCCCAGATATCACAGTATGGAACACTACCTTGTATTCCTATATATCACAGTATGGAACAGTACCTTGTATTCCTATATATCACAGTATGGAACAGTACCCTGTATTCCCAGATATCACAGTATGGAAAACTACTTTGTATTCCTATATATCACAGTATGGAACAATACCTTGTATTCCTATATATCACAGTATGGAACAATACCCTGTATTCCCAGATATCACAGTATGGAACACTACCTTGTATTCCTATATATCACAGTATGGAACACTACCTTGTATTCCTATATATCAAAGTATTGAACACTACCTTGTATTCCTATATATCACAGTATGGAACAGTACCTTGTATTTCCAGATATCACAGTATGGAACACTACCTTGTATTCCCATATCACAGTATGGAACAGTACCTTGTATTCCCAGATATCACAGTATGGAACAGTACCTTGTATTCCTACATATCACAGTATGGAACAGTACCTTGTATTCCCAGATACCACAGTATGTAACAGTACCTTGTATTCCCAGATACCACAGTATGTAACACTACCTTGTATTCCTATATATCACAGTATGGAACAGTACCTTGTATTCCCAGATATCACTGTATGGAACACTACCTTGTATTCTATATATCAAAGTATTGAACACTACCTTGTATTCCTATATATCACAGTATGGAACAGTACCTTGTATTCCCAGATATTACAGTATGGAACACTACCTTGTATTCCCAGATATCACAGTATTGAACAATACCTTGTATTCCTATATATCACAGTATGGAACAGTACCTTGTATTCCCAGATATCACAGTATGGAACAATACCTTGTATTCCCAGATATCACAGTATGGAACAGTACCTTGTATTCCCAGATATCACAGTATAGAACAATACCTTGTATTCCCAGATATCACAGTATGGAACACTACCTTGTATTCCCAGATATCACAGTATTGAACACTACCTTGTATTCCTATATATCACAGTATGGAACAGTACCTTGTTTTCCCAGATATCACAGTATGTATCACTACCTTGTATTCCCAGATATCACAGTATGGAACAGTACCTTGTATTCCTATATATCACAGTATAGAACACTACCTTGTATTCCTATATATCACAGTATGGAACACTACCTTGTATTCTCAGATATCACAGTATGGAACACTACCTTGTATTCCCAGATATCACAGTATGGAACACTACCTTGTATTCCCAGATATCACAGTATGGAAAGGCTGCACACTTAAAAGCACAATGATGCTTCTCTATCGCAGGTCCTGAAGTTGCTGAGAAGATATTTCTCGATCCTAGATTTTTTAATATTTTAACTTTTTAAAATAGTCCATTTTTACTTTTTTTTTTACCATTGATTTTGGTGAATGTTTTACCAATGTTAAAACCAGCAACACAATCTTTTGAATATATCAAAATATATCAAAATGATTTTAAATACTTTTTATTCTTCTATTTGGTTTTTAAGTGCACTGTGAATGTTCAACAGTTTCAGACAGAACATTTCTCTTTAAAGGGAGTGTTCACGAAAGGGGTAAAGATAGACATCTAATTACTCTTATTTGCTGCATTTATAAGGAGAAAATGGATAAAAATCTCTTATAACCAAAGCATAGGACTTATTTAGATCCACGGAGTTGTATTATTCTACTCATATCATAAATAATTTAATAACTCAACCTTAATCCTTCAGATATTACAAACCGTAAATGTCTAAAAAGCTAATTTAACAATATATTACAATGTTTACTTTATTGTGCTGCTATAATAAAATTGTGAATGAGGTTGTCTTGAATGATAAAATTTACAGTATGTTTTATTAAAATCATTGTTATAAATCTTGGTAAACAGAAAGAATTTAGTTTAAAATAAACATAATTCCTAATATTTGAAAAATGTGAAGATTTTGATTTTTTCGTTATATTTCCTTTGAGTAATATCAACCAAACAAATTTACTCAGCATTTTGGTGTTAATCAGTATTTTTTGAAAAGGATTCTAATTTGATGAAAACGAAATAAATTTTTATAAACAAAAAGTATGTGCATAGCTACAGTTGCAGTTAGATACTGGAAGGTACATTTTATTTTATATTTGTCTTTTGAATTTTATATGAGATAAAATTTTTAGTTTGCTTATGAAAATTAACCCTGAACTGGAGGGTGGTGGTGGGGGGGGGGGATATGACTTTTAAAAAAAAGAAAAGCTTCATTTTAGCCATGCATCTTATTTGCATCACACGTTCCTCTACTAAAATTTAAGAAGTGATGAAATCCTCCCCATCTCCTCAAACCTATATAATTTAAAAAATAGCCCAACTGTGAAAGAGTTAAGAGTTAAAGTAATTCGGAGTTTCATGTTTGACTTTTATATTTCGCATGGAAATCGATTTTTAGACTCGGCCCGCTGCATTCCTTATTTCCTTGTAACATGAACGAATTAACTAAATTTTAAAGAACGAACGAAATTTTTCGTTAACAATGGTGTTGTTCCGAGAAATAAAAAATAATTCGTTTTTGAAAAACGAACGAAAGATTTAAATTTGTTAGATGTTAGAACAATCTATTATCGTTCATGAACGATTTCGTTCGCTTTTTTACTGAACAAAAAAATTTAAAGAGACTATTTAAAAAAAAATTTCAAAAAAACGATCGCCTTTTAACGGATCGAACGATTTTACTAAAAAACGAAATCAATTAATTTTTTTTATGATTGAAAAAATGTGCTAATCTCCTTATAGAGCCATTTATAGAGTGGCATGTCTGTTTTATAATGTACCCTGTCAAATTTTATCTGACCAGAAATAAATAAAAAAATATCGGAAGGAAATTTAGAATAGAAAAGTATAAGTGGTGCCGTTGTGTATTTAACATTCTGCTCAATAAAGAAAGAATCACATTAAACTACATCTACAGTTCTTTAATCCTATTCCTGATCTTTAAAGGGAGTGACCGGCAATGTATTGCAGTTTAACTGAGAATGTAGTATTGTGGAGAAATTTTTTAGGATTCATTGAGACATATAAAACGTTTTACTGATGTAAAATTATACTGAGTTTGAGCATAAAGTTGACTTTCAAAATCATCCATTTGGTTGGTTACGTTTTAAGAATCGATTTTTTAAAGATTATTAAAAAACGACAACTAATAATGTAATGAAAATTCTGCAGTAAATGAATTAGTTGTTAAGGAACAGGTTGAGAAAAATAAATTGACTCTTATCATCGAAAGTTAGTAATTCTATTCAGTTATTGGTTTCCAAAATCTCTCATTGTTCACAAACATTTTCTGTAGATTTTCTGCAATTTTTATCAAAAAAAACGACATTTGAAGAATTTTTGGAAATCTGCGAACACATTCGTAAAGAATAAGAAATTCAATAAAATGATGAATAAGAAATAATTAATTCTAACATTGATTTATTTAGAAAATGTTAATTGAGAAATATGTTCCTAAACATCTAATTAGTTTATTATAGATTTTTTTTGACATTTTTTCGCCGTTATTTAATGATTTAAAAAAATCGATTCTCAAAACTAACCACCCAAATGGATGATTTTGAACGTCGACTTTGTGCTCAAACTCAGTATTATTTATACATCATTAAAACGTTATATAAGTCTCAAATGAATCCTTAAAAATTTCTCCACAAAAACTACATTCTCAGATCAACTACCATTTATTGATGGTCACTCCCTTTAATTGGTTTGTTGTAGATTGTTTTTAAACCGTTTTTTAATATAGAGTTTTTATTTTTTAAGAGGCATAAATTTGACAAGTATTCTGAAAAGTTTAAAATATTGCAAAGCTTATGCTTTTAAAGTTTGCTTTTGTTCCGCTCTGCAAAATTTGATTTAAATCAAACATTAAATAAATACTAATGTTAACATTTTTATATTTAAAAGTTGAGTATTTAAACTAAAATTCTTTATGTATAAATTTTACCGCATGGTAACTTAAGAAGCCAATATTGACGAAATTACAGATTTTTTTTGATAACTTTGATTATGTTGATAATGTTGATGATCATGATTAAAATTATGATGTTCACGGTTATGATCATCACAATGATGAATATGCTAATGATAGCGTTGTTGATGATAATCATGATTAAGACCATAATGATCATGAATATTTATGACAAATGAAGTTTTTAAGACCACAAAGTTACTCATTTCTATACAATACATTTCTCGATGGAAAGCAGTTTTGAGAAAGATGTATGTACGTTTTGACGACATTTGTCATTGGTAATATCTTTACTAGATCCCAATAGAAAGAAAAAAATCGTAAATCTTTGAGAATCAATGAAAGTCATATTTTTGATAATATTGATATTTTCATGAGCGCAAATTTTTTAATATTTTGTCTTGAAAAGTAAAAAAAAAGTAGGATTTTTGATTTCATTACTTGGACGTACTTTTACGCAATTAAAGGGAGTGACCGGCTATTTAAGATAGTTGAACTGAGTATATAGTGTTGTGGATTCATTTGAGACATATTAAATTTTTAAAGATCTGTAAATCCTGAGTTTGAGCGCAAACTTTGTGTGCAAGGAGTTCAACAACTTTTCCGAAAACGGTTATTATTTATTAAACGAGATTAAAGATTCACAGAAATAAAATATTTTCATTTAAATTTTCTTAAAGGACATTAATAATATACATAAAATATTCTGAACTTTGCAACCCAACGTTGAAGACCTTAGATATTTCAAACTGTAAATCTTTTTAGATAAAATAATTTATGTTTGAAATATAAAAAATGTTTGGTTTGTCGCAAAGACTTAAATCCTTTTAGCCTACAGGCTACAACTGATGCATAAAATTATCACAAGATTGAGTTATTTCATCCAGTTTCTTCAAATCCTCCCAGTTCTCCACAGATGTCTGAATAATCAGATTTTTTTTTGGATTGTTTGTATTTGGTAATATAGCACAGATGGAATACATCAACATTTTATATATTTGGTAATATAGCACAGATGGAATACATCAATATTTTATATATTTGTAATAATTGAGTCTCAACTCAAATTATCTAATCCATTTATCTTTGCAACCTTCAATACTTCAAGCGTGGATTATTTTATCTAACAGAATTCTCAGTTTAAAATGTCTAAGGTCTACGACATTGGGTTGCAAAGATATAGGGTTTAAAAAATTAGAGTGTATGGAAAAAATTAATTCCTTTGCAAATAAAAAATTCCATGGCACCTGTTCTTTTCCATAATATTTCTGAGTGGAGAGCAGCTCACCATTCTGCCACTTTTCCAAATCCCTTTACAATACATAAATAATAATTTTAACTAATTCATCAATCAGTTTTAAACTTACGCATTAAGTACGCAACTATTCGGATTTGAAACTAAATGTTAGAATACATAAAACAGGACTGACTACCTGTCTAAATGGTTATGGTTATGCTCAATGACTCGACTTTAAATTTACGGGGTTGTCTTTTTACTTCTTCATCTAAACGCACCTGTCGATAAATAGTATAAAAACGCAAAATTTATGTTTAATTGGTAAAATTATCTCAAAAGTCTCAACTAGTCGGACCAAGGAAAGAACTGTTAAATCAGCGTGATATGTTTATATAAGTTTGTATATTTATATATTTATTCCTTTTCCCAGCCCTAGGTCCCTCGGTAAAAGTATAAATACAATCTCCATTCCACTTTCCATTCACCTTCACGCCTTCTCTAGATCAAATAGATAATTAATTTGTAAAAATAACGAAATTGTAAAACTTTTGTTTTTATAAGATAATTCTATTTTATCATTCATGGCTGAGGAATATGTATAATATAAATAATATCTATTTATGTACTACATAGTATGTAGTACATTTTTTGTTGCAAATTTTCATACTTGTCCATCTTCAGGGGTGCAACTTGCAGGGCGTGTTTACTCTGCAGGCATTTGTGGCAGACTTCACCATTCCAGGGGGCCGGGGGGGGGGGGGTTGAGCCCCTATCCTCATACACGCATATTTACATAGGATAAGTTAAAATTGAAACACATATAAATAGGTTTAAATTAAACCTTGTTGCACCGTTTGGCCAGATTAATTTAGCAGGACCGGTTTGTTCTCCGTTTTCATATATGCTTATCTAAATATGTATTTCTTAAAACAACAACAAAAACAAGACCAACAAAGGAATTGAGTCTTTGCTACAAACTCAAGTTTTAGAATCCTTTTCAATCTGATGATAGACACCTTTGCTATTTTAAACTTAGATTATTTGATCTAACAGAAAAGTTTGAAAAATCCAAGGTCTACGGCATGCATTTGGTTCGAAAGAGTTTGTGGCAAAGACTTCTCATCAAATCAAATCAAAAATCAAAAACAATAATCCACAATAAGCTGCAAGCCAATAATATTAAACAATTAACATAATTCTTTAATCTTTTTTTCGTTGACAGCTAGATTATTCAAATTCGAAAGTATAATTCTTTTGATAAATAAGGTAATAAGGTAAAAAAGGTAATTTTTGTTATATTTGCACTATACCTCTATGGAACCATCAGCAAATGTGTAAGTAGCAGGACCAGACCTAATTCCTTTTATATAATTGAACTCAAGCTTATCTCCAGTTTTACCTAGAGTAATTTTGTAATATTGTAATTAAGAAGACATTGTAATTTTTTTAATTAGGTCCTTTTTTAAGGAGTATCTTTAATCTTGAATGCTTGATTTCGATATTTAATGTGGACACTTTTAAATTTTAAGATAAATGCCTAATTAAAGATGGCCCTGCAGGGTATGACCACCAAGAGACATTGTAGAAAAATTGAATTAATCTGTAGTCAACATTTTTTAGAATATTTTGCCACTTTTGATACAGTGAGAACTAGACAATTATGTATTAGGAAGACGACTTTCAGACTTAAGTTATGATTTTAATAAACAAAAGACACGGAAAATTGTGCCGTGTTAACAGGCCCATTTACCAACACCAAGTACACTTTTGTATCGCTAAAATGTCGTCTTCCTATTCCACAGCTTTCTGGTTCTCTTTCTTTATTTCTTTAACAATTTAAAAAATTATATTTTCTCGACAGTATGAAAAAATCAGTTTTGAAATATGTGGTGCCTATTTGGATTTGTGCATTAATTCTACGTTTTATTTTCCATGACTGTAGATGTACTTTAAGAAAAACATTTAAAAAAAAATATGCCAGGGGTGTTAAATAAGGGTTATAAGTTTTTTTTATAGAGGGCCAATATATCCGGATTAGAATGTTTAAAATTAATATGCTTGATTTTACAATTAAGATACATTTCTTGTGTTCAATTTCGAAAAAAGTATTCTTGCTAATGGATTAAGATATGACCGACGTCTTTAATTCCAAAAAATGGTGTCTGGCTAAAGTGTCTGTCTGTTAGAGTTGCGCAAACATCTCATTTTATATTTGTGAGTTTATATGTGAGTGTACTTGATTTTTTGATTTACAGACTATGTTGCGCGAGGACAGTTGATTTTCGGGCTATGTTGTAACCTGGACAGTACGGGCTATGTTGGAACCTGAACAGTACGGCTGTGTTGTAACCTGGACAGTATGGGCTATGTTGTAACCTGGACAGTACGGACTATGTTGTAACCTGGACAGTACGGACTATGTTGTAACCTGGACAGTATGGCTATGTTGTAACCTGGGCAGTACGGCTGTGTTGTAACCTGGACAGTATGGGCTATGTTGTAACCTGGACAGTACGGGCTATGTTGTAACCTGGACAGTACGGGCTATGTTGTAACCTGGACAGTACGGGCTATGTTGTAACCTGGACAGTACGGACTATGTTGTAACCTGGACAGTACGGGTTATGTTGTAACCTGGACAGTACGGGCTATGTTGTAACGAGGACAGTACAGACTATGTTGTAATGAGGACAGTACGGGCTATGTTGTAATGAGGGCATTAAGGGCTATGTTGTAACAATGACATTACGGGCTTAATTGTAATGAGGATAGTACAGGCTATGTTGTAACAAGGAAATTACGGGCTATGTTGTAACGAAGATAGTACGGGCTATGTTGTAATGAGGATAGTACGGGCTATGTTGTAACAAGGAAATTACGGGCTATGTTGTTACGAAGACAGTACGGGCTATGTTGTGACGAGGACATTACGGGCTATATTGTAACGAGGACAGTACGGGCTAGTTTGTAAGTAGGACCAAGGGAAATTCATTTATAATTGCAATCAATGTATTTTTGTTGAATGTTTGTCAAGTTTTACACCCATTTTTCAACGTTAAAAGCTTTATTTCAATAAAAGTGGGTTAATTTAAAATTGTTAAGTTTCTTTGCCCCTTGCAAATATTTCTATAGGAAACCTGTCGATTAAATAAAAAACATATTAAATGAAAATACAGTCTAGTGGAACAAAATACCCATGTCCGAAGAAACAATACCTCTTTTTCTGAACTTACATTTTTAAAGATAAAAAAATTTGCAGTGTTTGTTCTTTGGAAATTGGAAACTATCTATTCAAAAGCAAATGAACCATGAGCAAACATCTTTGCCTTATACAGAGCAATTGTTGACATCAAAAGAAACTTTGTTATTTTCGAAAACTGGAAAACGAATTAAAACTATGCGATCATATCTACCTGTGAGAACAGCTGGACCGGTCAGTTCTCCATTCACCCACATTCTCTCCTCTCTTCAAACAATATTTTTTATTTTATTTAAATGAGGTTTTTTCTCTATAGACTTACATGAATTGAGTCTTTGCCTCAAACTCTAATTGTCTAATCTTATTTTTACAAACTAATATCTTATACCTTAGCTATTTTAAACAATGAATGCTCTCAGAGCAAATAAGCAAAGTTTGATTCAACAAAGTCATCATTTAAAATCTTCTTTAAAAAGGAAATAAAAGCCTGCACAGTATTTTAACTATCAGAATTAATATTTGGAAATATCAAAGGTCCACGACATCGGATTGCAAAAGATACAGGCATTAAGAAATCAAAGTTTGAGGCGGAGTTTTCATAAATGTTTATGGTTTCTTTAATCAAATTACTGAACATTCCTCTTAGTTAATAAAAATATCAACAAACCTTTCCCCGTCAACACCTACTTCAAGACCCGGCCCTTCTCTCATACCATCAACATAATCTACAGTTTCATATCTAGGTATTAGAACAATGTAAATATAATTAACATTTGGTGATGGTGATGGATCAAACCTCTGTGGAGTAAAAAAATAGATGTTAGTTCCACATTTATTGAAAATATATTTTGGTCTGGGTTGACCCTCGTCAGTTTTAACGATATAATGATCATAAAAATCGATATAAAATATTCTAAAAACCACAAGAAAATAAACAAAAGATGATTTAAAAATAAAATGAGTTGTCAGATGGACAAAAGGGAAACGAACTCAGATAATGAATAGATGGAAAAAAGATAATTTGCAAATATTCACTATTTTAAAAATGTTTTAAGAAACTTATTATTCCTTGAGATTGTTTCTGTCAGGATGATTGAAAACAAACTGTTTATAACTGTGTATAAAGTACATGGTGGTTGGGGGTCGATCTAATTAATGAACTTTTACGTAAAAATCGAGGGAGGGGGGGGGAAAGGGGGCGACTTGTTTAAGAAGGGATATTTACACCTTTTAGAGATTTGGACATAAACAATAATCTTTTTTTTTTTAATACTGGATTACAGTTTACAATTAAATAAAAAAATTTCTGTTTATTCCTCTGAGTTTCATATCTAGTTATTTTAACAAAATATATATATATATACATTCTACAGTTTCATATCTAGTTATTTCAACAATGTATATAACTTGTTAAAGCTATTTCTACTAGATTAAAAAATATCTTGAGAAAAGAAAACATGTATAATCTACAATTTTATATTTAATCATTAAATATTATAAAGTTGCGTGGACTCACCTGCCACTGGCCCAAGTGTACTGTGAAGGTCCGTTTAAAATATTTTTCTAAAAAACATCATTTAACTTTAGATTCAAAATTTAGAAATATGATAAGAAGTGATTTCAGCTTGTATAAAGTTCAGAGGATAAACATCTTACAATTAGAATAACGAACTGAGTTTTTGCCGCAAACTCTAATTTTTAATTCTGTTAGAGAGTGAAAAGAGTAAGTTTGAAATATTAAAGGTTTATATCATCAGGTTGGAAAGATATAGAAAATTAGACTCAATTCCTTTAGAAAGAGGGTTAAAGTTAATACAATTTCAGGTTATCTACTTTTTATTTTTTATTTATATTTGTATCCAAAAAAGTTGAAATTGAAAATAAATGTTTCCTTGTAAACAAATTTGAAAACATCCCCTTGCGCTCCAACTAAACGTGCCTCTCCATTCTTCTCTCCATCTGCATAAACTCGTTCCTCAAAGCTACCATCTGAATTTTAATAGATATATTAGTGGGAGTCAAAAGTTATAGAAATCCAACGTATAGAAACCGCTACGTATAGCAACAAGGTGTATTTTCCGGGAGAACATTTTTTATATTTTTGAGAAATTAAATAATCAGTGTAAAGTAGAAATAATTTTCATAAAATCCTTTTATTTAAATGGTAAAACGGAGTTTTATGAAATCATACTAGCATTATTGGAGAACTTTTTTATTCTTTTAAGAAATTTGTTTTTTTTCTAAAAATAAAACTGTAGATAGCACTTTTATAAAATAATTTTTTAAATAGTAACATGCAAATTTATGTATAACCATATAATCATTAATTCATGTTGTCAGTACATAATAAAATCTGGGGGACCTTAAACACAATAGAGAGCAGTACAAATGTACATATTAAACTATAATGTTGCCCCTTCAATGTCTAGGGTATGTTAAAAAAATAGAAATTATGATAATGATAGTGATAAGCTACAATGTTTTACAAAAACGTTTAATTTCTCAAAAATATAAAAAATGTTCTCCCGGAAAATACGCCTTGTTTCTATACGTAGCTGTTTCATACGTTGGATTTTTATAAGGTTTGACTCCATATTAGTGCACAAAAAGTTCTAGAAATAAATAAGAATTACTAGCTGAAGAAACCGCGGCGTTCCTCGTAAAATTTGAAAAAAAAAATATTTGTGCTAGGTAAAAAAAACTAATTTTGTTCAGCCTTTGTTTCCACATTTAAAGGTTCAAGGGTAATTCTGTTAAATGACCTTCTTTGCATGGAAGATCCCTTGATATTAAACCTACAGTCCCTTAAATACCTGGATATAATAGTTTACTGGGGCCCCTAGCTTCTCCTTCCCAGAACATGATCTCTTCAACAGTTTCGTCTTCAGCAGATGAAAACTTAGATCTAAACCAATAATAATTTTAAATCCATCGAAATTTAACAAATTTGGTCTGCGGCTGATTTCCATTTTCAGTTTACCTTCCATGCCTTACTCCATTCGCCATTATAACTTCTTCCTTATCTCCATTATTGTATGTAAAGGTACCAGCTCCATTCGGGACTCCATCCTCGAATTCTCCAGTGTAGATATCTCCTAAATAGTAGAGATGGCTGCAGCCATATTCTTGATTTCTAAAATTGTTTGTCCAATGTTCGTAAAGTCTGGTTAAGAAGCTGGAGGTCAGTAGGATCATTCGTTCAACTTTCGTCAGTTAATGAGTTTATTGTAAATGATGGTTGATTTTTGTGCCTCTAGCTACATGAACTGATAATTAGGGTTTCGAATTGGAATAATCTTTTTCAGAAAATTTTGCATTTTTCGCGGATTCATAAAAAAATGCGGGATTTTCGCGGAACAAATAATGCGATAATTGCGCAAAAAAAAATTGAAAATTCTTTTTGAAAAAAATTTCTCAAATTTCAAGAAAAAAAAGAGAAAATTCCACAAAAAACGCAATTTTCCCAAATTTCAAGCAAAAAAATGAGCTGATTAGGGTTTCGAATTGGAATAATCGTTTTCAGAAAATTTTGCATTTTTCGCGGATTCATAAAAAAATGCGGGATTTTCGTGGAACTAATAATGCGAAAATTGCGCAAAAAAATTTGAAAATTCTTTTTTAAAAATTTCTCAAATTTCAAGAAAAAAGAGAAAATTCCACAAAAAACGAAATTTTCCCAAATTTCAAGCAAAAAAATGAGCTGATTCCGCTAGCTGAATTTGAGTTAACGAGCGAATCCCCCAAAAAAGTTTGCGAAATACGAAAGATAATTTTCGTTTTTTTTGCATTCTTTCGCAAAAGTTTTCTTCCACTGGAAACCTTATATATGAAATGTCATCATTATATTCAATAAGGCTGTCACGACCATTTTTTCATTAGATATCCACTCACCAGAATTAAATTTGATTATTCCATTTCCGTTTTGTCTGCCTCCCTTCCAACCTCCTATATAACTAAACACACCAGACTTATAAATTATTTTTTTGCTGTTAAATGTAGTTCTTTTCTCATTTTTTGTATAATTAAATAATATGGTTGATTTTGGTATATAATTCAGAAGGTATCGAAGGTATCGAAATATGCTTTCCTTAAGTTCCTTGGAAATCCAGCTTTATCTAGAAAGAACAATTTCTTTTCTTTTTTTTACTCAAAATGAAAACATTCCCATGGTTCTACGAGGTCCCTGATATAAAGGGTTCATACGTTATGATCGGACATATAAACAAACAAACTATTAGAAACCATATTTTATATATCTTTAACAGACACACGTTAATGGTTTGAATAAATATCCGATTTACTTTAAAAACTTTGATATTATGTAATTACAGCTTGGACATTTTTTAATTTTTTAACACTGTCCGTTAATTAAAGTCTTTTGCTGGATTATGTGCACAGCATTGTTTTTTCCAATTTTTTTCCAAATTTTATCCAAATTGTAGGTTTCTTTTTTAATCAAATATCTAAGATTTTTACAGTTCGATTATGTTTGGGTCGCTGACGAGGATTTACGATGAATTATCTAAGTCTTAGCCCTATAAAGGCTGGGGGGTCTGAATCTATGTATAGCCTGGGGGGGCTATCGGCGCCCCCCCCCTCCTAGAAAAAGGCCTCAGAGAATAGTATAGGGTTGAAATGCATGTTCATAGCCCAATTTTTCATGGCCAGCTCAAAAAAAAAAATTAGACCGATAACTTTATTAGTTTGGTTGCTAGGTAGGGTGGAAAAAATGCCTAAAGAAGGATCAAAAAAATGAAAAAAATATTTTTATGTTTTAACTATCAAAGTGTGACTCATGTTTCTACATGCATTTTTCAAGCGCTTTTCAAATATATAGTTTTAAGATCTGTAGCTTTAGTCACAAAAAAGTTCTGGGTTTTTTTTCCGCCCTGTACCCTACCCTATAAATTAAAAAAATATATTTTTTAACAAAAACTCCTTTAAATCACTATTCATTAATAGTTACAAAATTTCACGGTGATATTGTCAAAAATAAGAGTGCTAGGACAAAAAAACTGCAAAGGGGGCGACAAACGCTTCCCCCCCAGCCTGTTTAGGGTTTATTGCTATCATTGTTTTTTGCTATAATTAAAAAGAATCTTATCTTTATCATTCATGGTCATCAATATTTCAAAGACGGTCTATTTTAAGATGCTGCATTGTTGATTGAAATCCCGTTTGTACGCAGGTTTCTTTCATAAATATAGATCGATACTGTAAAAGTTAAGTGGAGTGATATATGTAAAACTACCTGCATCTATCCATGGGGTCATTCTCTAAAAATTATTACTTTATGAAAACTGCAATGTTATTTAATATATCTATTTAAACAACTTTTTTCCTAATTAATTTGATTAATGTTTATTTTAAAAGTAATTCCTTTGTAGAATAATTCTCCAGTTCCATTCGGTACCCCATCCAACATATCTCCTGAGCATTCAAAAATAAAAATTTTCGATCCAAGATTAAAAAACAGAAAGGGGGGGGGAAGTGCACAGTGGGGGTACTTCAGGGGGTCTGGGGGTGACTGTTTTTTGTCAAAATCTTCCTTTTAAAAGGCGTATGCTTTGTGTATTTTTCATGATGAGAATAGACAATTTAAATAGTCATAGTGAATATAGGTTACACAGGAGACGTAAAAATCATATACTTTATAGCTTTTTTATAAGAAATTACAACGGATTTAGGATAATCTAGAATCTAGATATATAAATAGATTCTATTACTACGGCATAGACACTTCTCATAATTGGGTTTGGGGGGGGGGGTGATAGATCTTATCTAGTTATTTAGTTAATTAGGTTCCCATGGGGGAAATACAAATAATCAAATAAAATTTAAAAAATTTGAACCCTAATAAAGTAATTTTGTAGCATTGTAAATAAGTTAAATCTATTTGTTTTTGAAAAAAAAATTATACTAAACTTTCATCTATTTTAAACAATAAAAGAAGAACTTTTAACATTGAAACTAATGCCATTGTAGTCCTTTAAATGTCTCAATAGTTTCAGCTTCACAAATAAAATAAAGGAATTGAGTTTTAGCCTCAAACTCTGATTTTCTAATATTTCTATATCTTTGCAACCCAATGTGTTAGACCTTTTATATTTCAAACTATGAATTTTGTTAGATCAAAACGTCTATAAGCTTGAAATATAAAAGGTTTAAACCATCAGGTTGAACAGATGTAGGGACTAGTAAATTTGTTGTAAAAACTCATTTCTCTGATTTATTGAATGCACTTTCAAGTAATTATATAAAGTGATGTAATCTTGTTGTTTACTAGAGAAAGCCCATCTTTACATGATCATCAAACGTTTTCTGCAGATAGTTGTATTTCACCTTTATACTCTCCGATCTCCAGGTCATGTTTTGACATATTTTCTAATATACATTGTTCGTTAGAAATATAATTTTTCAACTAATGGAAATATTTTAATTTAGTTTTCACCATATATTTGATTATGAACTGCACCCTATCTGCAAGGATGACAGTGACTGAATTCTAAAGAAAGCAGAATTCCCCAACATAATATAATCTATCTATCTGACTATCTCTCTGTGTATATATCTATCTGGCTATCTCTCAGTGTATATATCTATCTGGCTATCTCTCTGTGTATATATCTATCTGACTATCTCTCAGTGTATATATCTATCTTGCTATCTATCTCTCTGTGTATATATCTATCTGGCTATCTCTCTGTGTATATATCTATCTGACTATCTCTCAGTGTATATATCTATCTGGCTATCTCTCTGTGTATATATCTATCTGACTATCTCTCAGTGTATATATCTATCTGACTATCTCTCTGTGTAAATATCTACCATAAATAAGTATATACGCTCTAAGCGGGAAATATTTCTGATATAATAAGTTTTTTAGGGTTTATTTTATTTTTGATTGAAGAGAAGTACAAAGACAACGTTAAACCCTTAATTCTGCTCATGATAGAACCAAAGGGAATATAATATATATTAGAGTGGAATTTAGGCAATTTTGTGGAATTTTGTCAGTCCCTTTCAGCCTGAAAGGGAGTTTAAAGTGTACAAATCATGTAAATGTTCTTAAATTATATGCAGTAGAGTACAATAATACAGTATGTTCCCTAGACTATCCATTTCAATTTCGAATTTTTTAAAGCTGTTAAATAAACTTTATAAAATGAATTAGCTGAATAAAAAACATCATTTGATTTATAGTTATAACGAAAAATCATCGTTTGTAAAGTGAAAGGCGTAGAGTCTATGTAAAATGATCATTGGTCAATTATGAAACCAGTCTATTTCATAATTTGGTTTTCTTTTAATATTAATTTTAGATTTTCTATAAAATGATGTTCCAGGGCCCAACAGGTTATATAGCACAAATATATGAAGTACACCTGCAGTATGGAAACAGTACAACAAAATGGCCGTTTTACACTTTTTTCCAGTAAATTCCACTCTAATATATATTCTATTCTCTTTGGATAGAACATGCAAACTTAGCTTGTTGTAATCTTTAATTTAAGCAACACTTTTTTAAAAATCGGTTTAGATTTAGATTAAAAATTAATGCAAAAATTACTCTTTTTTAAAATTATCTAAATTCCAATGGAATTGCAAAATAGGTATTGCTTAAATCAAAGATTTTAATAGATGAAATAAAATTCAATTTCAAATTTTTCTTTAAACATCTTCCTGTGCATAGAGTTTTAGCATAAAACTTATAAACAACAATATAACTCACAACTAGACACTTTTTAGTTTAATTGATAAATTGTCTAATCTTGAATTGAAAGGAAGCCAGACTGGGGGGATAATTCTATAATAGTGCATGAGCTTAAAATACGAAACCATAATTAAACTAAATTAATTGAGTTAGGATGAAATAAGTGTTATTTTATCGCTGTTCTGAGTTCATGTGCATGCAATATTTCTGCCTCCTACCTCATTTTTAGGAGAAAACACAGGCTATACAAAATTTGGTGTCGAATTGTATGAATAACTCAAAAACGGTTTGTTCCGAACTTCCGCAATTTTTTTTCTTTCTGCATTGATTCCTAGATGTCTAATGAATAAAAAATATTCATTCTTCCCATTAATATTTCTTCTTATTTCATGCACTAAAATAACTCCAATAGTTTAATCGTATTCTGAATCTATAGGTCTGTAGATCCTCTGTATTCAAATGATAAAACAGAAAGCAACAAATTTTATAGTAATCTTTATTTGCCAATTATATTAATAATTTCAATAGATTATGTGCATACATCTAACCTACCAAGGTTGTCGTTGTTGTGGTAGTTGTTGTTGTTGTTGGTGCGGTTGTCGTTGTTGTGGTAGTTGTGGTAGTTGTTGTCGTTGTTGTTGTTGTTGTTGTTGTTGTTGTTGTTGTTGTTGTTGTTGTTGTTGTTGTAGTACAAGCACTAGGTGCCAATGCTAAATATTAAAAATAATTAATATCTTTCTCATAATATAAACTTTTATTGTCTGCCTGTTTACTTCTATCAAATAAACGTCAAAACGGCTAAAACGATAGGGCCCACATTTTTTATGACAATTCACATGACCCCACGGAAAAATTTTAAATAAAAATAATAAATCTGCGAAATTTTGTTATTAATGTTAAATATTGCAGGAAGAGATATTGCTCAGAGATAGATTCACAATTAAAAGTTGTAAAAAATATACACAAAGTGTCTTGAAAACCTACAGTGAAACCCTTAATAACGCTACATCGAAAGAATTCATCAAATGTCGTGTTCTTCACTTTCTGATAATGGAATGTTGCAGATATTTAGTTTTTTTTTTTAATTAAATGATTATATGGAACTCTATAAAACTGTTCCCGCATATTCCTGGCTATTTATTTATTTTCGCAAATACTGAAATTTACGTAATATGGTGTAAAACTCATTGAAAAATTATCAAGACGACATTTGATAAATTCTTCCGATGTATTCGTTATTAGGGGTTTCACTGTAGTAAAAACCTAACAAAGAATTAGGTTGATCTTTTACCTGAGCAAGCGTATGGTCCGCATGCAATTAATCCCAAGTAACCGCATCTTAAAAAATAAATTTAAATATTGTAAATTTCATTTTTTTAAAAATAAATATTACCTTCCGGTGCAGTTTGCGTCACAAGCTTGTCCTATACAAGCTGAAGTACATTGTACATAAACATTCCCGCAGCAGAATCTATCCTGAACTGCACGGTTCAAGTCAGAACTAAATTGATAAAGGGAGTGGTCACATATTTCACAAGTTTAGGAGATGTAAATTACTTAAATCTTAAATTTACTTATCTTTTCATTATCTTTAATTCATGAGATGTTTTATATGTTAGAGAAATGATTTTTCAATAAAGTTGATGTTTACCTTTTCACCTGAACCTCAAGTTGACCCTCAGCAAGGTCAAAGGTTGCAGCGCAGAAAAGAACAAGACAGGCAACAGCAAACTTCATTCTAAAGGCAATTCATGTGATAGTTAAGGAATACACAGTACAATTGCAGGGGCGCTTAATTTTTTCTTTCTTTTCAGGTTAGGCTTAGCGTCCGTCGGAACCTAAAACCCCCTGGAAACCATAGATTTTACTGATCCAGGGGGGAGCTAAGCCCCCACAGCCTCCCTGATAGGCCTCTGAAATTTGGGGTAGAGGCCCTCCCAATCTTCAGCTACTTCATAGGGGTCGGCAGTGCACCCCACCCCCGAAGTTTTTTTACTATGAGAGATGGAATAATCACAAATTCTAAAACTCTTTAGACTTTAAATAAATTATTTGCGAACATAAATAAAATATTTGCGTACATAAATAAAATATTTGCGAACATAAATAAAATATTTGCGAACATAAATAAACTGCTTAACTTAATATTTACAAAAGTTTAAAAACTACAAATTTGCTTTTTGCGTGAAGTTAAACAATCTAAAATTTGATATTTTATCATCTAAGCATCTAAAATTTTCAGATTTCATCTAAAAAACCACCCTATCCCATCCTTTAACAACTGTAAAGAAGCTATGTTATAAAAAATTCTTGTTTTATATTACCCTGACAAAATTTGATTTTTCTAAGAACCCACTTTTCCAAATCAAATATTTACTTTCAATGCTACAATTTGAAGGTTAATATTTACCTATTCAAGAAAACATTTCTTTAATGATTGGTTTAACGTAATATTCAATGTAAATTACCTGAATTTCTAGTGCAAATATGAACTGCATAAACATGATTTGTTACAACTATATATACTGCTGAACCCAACACCTGTTCCAGTCCATTATATATTTTTTATACAATTTCTTAAACTTGAAATTAAATTAAATCAATTTCTAACCAAACATTTAATCATAGATATCATTGTGCTTAAATTAGGTTTTGATATTGAATTTAACAAATTCTTTAATTTTTCTGAATACACCTGTGTCCATTTGTAAACATTTTTACACAAAAGAGAATGAGTACATTTCCCCTCAAAGGACACACATTTTCATGGTTGATTCACGCCTTCATTTGTAGAGCTGCTAGAAATTCAAGGCGCTTCGCGCCCTTCTTTCTAGCCTTAGAGGGCGCTTCGCACCCATCTTCTAAATTAGTTGTGAACATGTTCTCTTTGTGTACATCGTAAAACTAAACAAAAATAATTCGCGGATTTTTACAAAAAATTTCGCGGATTTTCAAAATTTTTAAAAATTTAATGACGGTCGAATTTTGATGGAGACAAATATTTGAAATTTTGATTTTTCATAAACATCCCCTGGGGTCCCTAGATGTCCCACAAAAAATTTGGGCCCGATCGGTTCAGCCGTTTTGACGTTTATTGGATACAAACAAACAAACAAACAGACAAACAAACAGACAGACAAGCCAAATTTTTATATAGATTAGTGAATGTCAGATTAGTAATTAACTCTAGGAATGTATTTTCAAAAAGTAAAAATAAAAAATATAACAACAATTTTCCCGCATTTTCCTAGTTTTAAAAAAAATATATGTTTTCCTGATTTTAAGTACAAACAGGGCTTGTATTATATTGGGTAATTTCCTTTCTGATTTTTTTGATGAATTAATTTTATTTATTTTTTCCTTCTTATGTTACCCCCCAATTTACTCTTGGAAATTGGATTTGAGTTCCTATCTTCAGTCTGAAGACAATGTATTCGGAAAGAATTTATTCAATCCTTTTTTAAAGGGCAAACATGAAATCTCCGACCATCATTGAGTGACATGAGACAGTAGACACCCCACATGTAACAAAGGCAAAAATTGGAGAATTATAAAATACAAAAATCTGCCAAAAATGCAAGTTTCAAATTTTATGGTTTTTAATAACTCATGCTATTTATTTCTTTTTTATTTGTCGCAATATTTACATTTAAAGGGAGTGTTCGCGAAAAATGAGAGGGGGTATAGGCGATAAATAAGAGCTTTTGATCGCTTCTAATCTTACTTCTATCTGTTGCGTCTATAAGGAGAAAATTGTTAAAAACGACTAATACCGAAGAAAGTAGTGTCTATACAAATTCGGAAAGATGCAATATTTAATTCGGATTGTAAACAAATCAATTTAATTCCAAACAAATCATTCAGATATCACAAACAGTAGTCATCGATTATTTTTCGAAGCATTCGAATATAGATAATGTTTTGCATTTTTCATGATCTAAGAGTTACTTTTGAAAACATTTATTCCTTTTCGAGGATTTTTGATAATTAAGACGACATTTTCATATTTTCCAGGAATGTTCGAAAATCCAGCGCCAGCAAAAATTATTTTTAAAAAATCAAAAATATTATGAAATATTAACTATTTACGAATGTGTCGAAAAATAATCCGTTAACGACACCTTTAAAAATAATCCGTTAACGACACCTTTAAAAATAATCCGTTAACGACACCTTTAAAAATAATCAGTTAACGACACCTTTAAAAATAATCCGTTACGACACCTTTAAAAATAATCCATTAACGACACCTTTCAAAAACTTGGAATTTTTGAGAGAGATCTTAACTATCAAATTGATATTCTGAATATTAGAATATCTTCCCTCATATCCGCTTCTCAAGTCATGGAATAAACTGTCACTTGATTTAAAAAGAAGTGCCTCGATAGGCATATTTATTAGAAATGTTATTAGACGCCTACATCTCAAAGTGCAATAAACCCTCTTGTTATTCTTGCAAAAATGAATCAAATATTGGTAGATTGGTGTACATGCTTAATCTTATTCTGTTGTACGTACTAAACTTTTAAACTGAAACATCAATTATTTTGTTATGCTGCTCTGCACTGCACCTCGATCTCTCTAAATTTAACTAGTAATCCCAGACTTATTGTAAATTTTCAAAACCTAGTAATTCATTATAATTAGGGAGAATACCCAAATTGCTATATTACATATTAAACAATTTAAAAATAGTTGCAGATTTTTGCCTGTAACATTATAACTTGTTTGCGTATGCTTAGCAATACAATATATCTTATCTTATCTTATTAATATAATCACCAACCACGATGGTTCATTCTTGTTGTACAAAGGTGTTCAACTTAAACCACGAGTTTTCATTATTTAATCTTTATTGGTAATTTAATTTAGTAGTCTTTAATCTCAAATTATTACAAGTTGTCAACAAATTGTTTAATACAATGAAATAAAATGTTCAAAACAGTAAAATCCATTTGTTTTTAAAGTTATGATTAGTATGGCTACTCTCTAGTAACAACAGAACAGACTAACCAAACAGCCCATATAAATATATTGAAGTAAGATTCATATAAAGATTTCACAGCTTGCTTTAAAGGGAGTGTTTGCGAAAAATGAAAGGGGTTATAGGCTTACAACAAATAATAAGTGCTTTTGATCGCTACTAATCTTACTTCTATCTGTTGCGTCTATAAGGAGAAAATTGCTAAAAACGACTTTTGCTGTATAACATAGCATCCACCCAAATTGAGAATGTTGTTGCATACGACTCGGATCGTAAAAAAATCAATTTAACTTCAAACAAATCATTCAGATATTACAACCTATAGTCATCGATTCATTATATTATTGTTAATTTTTCATAATATATTTTACTTCTTTTATAAACAATGCACTTAAAAATACGATTTTTTCCGCTAGGTGTCTCTGCCACGTGGAATCATTAAGAGCATCGAGAGCAGAGACACCTGGCGGACAAACTAATCGGCGTTTGAAGTGCCTTGTATATAAAACAAATACAAAATATTATGAAATATCAACTATGTGCCAATGCATCGAAAAATAATCGATGACTAAAGGTTGTAATAAATGATTTGTTTGATAATAAATCGATTTTTTACGATCTTACTCATGGATTGCAATTTTCTCAATTTGGGAGGATGCTACGTTATTCGGTATGAGTCGTTTTTAACAATTTTCTCCTTATAGACGCAACAGATAGAAGTAAGATTAGTAGCGATCAAAAGCGCTTATTTTTCGCCATATGCATTTACCCCCTTTAATTTTTCGCGAACACTTCCTTTAAAGAAACATAATAATCACTATAAGAATATGGCTAGCAGATAAGGAGAATTTTGCACTCTAAGAATGCAACTTTGTAAAAAATACCAAATAAAAAATACACATGTTTATTAATGTCAGTGATAGTCATAAAAAAAGATTTGCAAAGAAAAACCTTCTTAATATTCAGCAATCTAAGTTTTTTTATAAAACACAAAATTTACAAGATTGAAAATTGTCCAGAATAACAATAATAGTTTTTGGAACTCATTGAAACAATCAACTTGCCAGGTTTCCATTTATGAATTATAAATGCTTTGTTATAGATGTAGTTTTATGAAATTTACATGTTTTAGTTCGGTTGATCAGCTCTTGTTGCTGAAATCTACTGGGATTGGGTAGACCAGTTGAACAGATATATTTGTGTAAAGCATTTTATCCTCCTGTTCTATGACAGTATATCTAAAAAAATTAAACTATAACATTTTAAACTTTTTACAATGAATACAATAAACAATTCGATAATTTGATATCGAACAATTATTGTTCATTTTTCTAATTATTGAATCCAAATTATGATGTGATAAAAGATTAAAAGCTGAGGGCGAAAACCTTATGTTTAATCTTCTTTAAAGCTTAGAATTCCTAGGTTTAGCTGGAATTCATAGCTCCAGGATTCATATCATAAGGTGGAATATTGTCAACGATGGATTTAAAGGGACTGTTTGGATATTTTCAATTTAAAGGGACTGTATGGATAATTTCAATTTAAAGGGACTGTTTGGATATTTTCAATTTAAAGGGACTGTATGGATAATTTCAATTTAAAGGGACTGTATGGATAATTTTAATTTAAAGGGACTGTCTGTATAATTTTAATTTAAAGAGACTGTATGGATAACTTCAATTTAAAGGGACTGTTTGGATAATTTCAATTTGAAGGGACTGTATGGATAATTTCAATTTAATGGGACTGTTTGGATAATTTAAATTTAAAGGAACTGTATTGATAATTTCAATTTAAAGGGACTGTTTGGATAATTTCATTTTAAAGGAACTGTATGGATAACTTCAATTTAAAGGGACTGTATGGATAATTTCAATATAAAGGGACTGTATGGATAATTTCAATTTAAAGGGACTGTATGGATAATTTCAATTTAAAGGGGCTGTGTGGATAATTTCAATTTAAAGGGACTTTATGGATAATTATAATTTAAAGGGACTGTATGGATAACTTCAATTTAAAGGGACTGTTTGGATAATTTCAATTTAGAGGGACTGTATGGATAATTTCAATTTCATTTGTTTCTTTAGTTGCTACACTTTGCACCGGCTGCACTATCATATGTGGAAAAAATGGGTTAGGACAAAATTAAAGAAATTTGTCAATAATTAAAAAAAACTGAAGAGAAAAACCTTACATGATATTGTTAAGACCATCAATACTTGCATATTTTGGAGTCTTTTCTTTCAAAAATGGATATCTGTCTTCGTTTATTGGATTTCCGGCATCGTGATCATGCTTGAACATTGTATACCTAAACAACAAATTTCATTTTTAGAAATTATTTTAAACTTTTAATTAGAATTTACGAAAAATTTGGATGATAATTATTAATTTTTATTTATTCCGTGATAATAAATTATAAAGTTATAATAATTTGGACTTTAAAAGTATACATTTTTTTATTTTAGTTTAAAAAAACTACAATAAACATATTTTTTTGCAGTTTCAGATTTAAACATAAAGAGGGTTAAAATTATTTCTTGTTTTCAAATTTCAATATGATCTTTAAAAATCGTGTTTGCCAATAAGTTTTAACCAAAACAATTAATATTAGAACAAAAAATAAAACTTTGCAAATCTTTGCCTTAATTCTTTTATGGTTAAAGGGAGTGACCGGCAATGTATGATTAGAATTCATTTGAGACATATAAAACGTTATAAAGATCTATAATTACTGAGTTTGAACGCAAATAACTAAATAATGACGACAAAAATATTGAAAAATTCTTTAGTAAACTAATTAGATGTTTAGGAACATATTTCTCGAAAGATTTCTACACATTCTTTAAATGTCGTTTTTTCAATAAAAATTCCAGAAAATCTGCAGAAAATCTTTGTGAATATTGAGAGAAACTAATAATGGAATAAGATTACTTATTTTCGAGTATAAGAGTTAATTTTTACTTTCTCAACCTGTTTCTAAACTACTAATTAGTTTACTGTAGAATTTTTGTAACATTTTTTGTCGTCGTTATTTAATAATTTAAAAAAAATCGATTCTCAAAACGTATCCTCCAGAATTGATGATTTTGAACGTCGACTTTTCGCTTAAACTCGGTAATTATAGATGCTTAAAACGTTTTATATGTCTCAAATGATCCTAAAAAATTTCTCTACAATAATACCATGCAATCTCAGTTCAATCACATACATTGCCGGTCACTCCCTTTAGCCTTAGAATATGTTGATAAATTGTTATTTTTTGTTATATTATTAATATCAACTATAAAACTAACCTTCCCAGTTTAAGGTCACTGTGAGTTAAGTTGTAGCCAGCATTTCTGAAATAATAAAGGTAAAGTAGTCTGTTCGCTTTACCTGGAACAAATAAAAACCTCTTTTGTAAAGAAAGCACAAACCATTCGGCTTATAGAGACTGTACGTAATGTTAAGTGACCTTATATTTAAAGTCTGTCAACCTTGAATCCTTGACCAGTGACAGGTAGGGATGCCCCTCTTTTAATTTCGTTTTTCAGTCCAATTAAAACCTGATTCTCCAGGACATGTCGTCATCTTCTCCACCCCATCCCCAGAACTGGTTTGAAAACCCGTTTACTTTCTCAATTTGTTCTCTAGTCATGGCGCTCACTCCACCAAATAGTTCCTTAACAACATTCAGAGGTACATTCCACCTTGGTGTTTATTTAATTGTATCCAATAACCGATTGAAAATTAAAGACTTTGCTTATGTAAATTCTTTTTAAATTTTAGAAATCCATCAACGCTAACAGAAAAATCCGCGAAATTCTGAGTTTTAAAAATACAAAGAAAAATGGCGGCTTCAAAAGCAATTGGTAAAATGGTTACTAGAAGAAATGGGCTTAACGCCCTATTTAAAATCATTTTAGGTTAAATTTATTAAACCTTTGGGCACTGTTCATTTTCTACTTTCTACAATATTTACCTTCTTCATTAATTTATATCCATGTGTATTAGTAGCTGATGAAAGATGTACTGGATTTGAGGAACAGCGATACAAATTCCTTTATTTAGAAGTTTTAATAATGGTTGTGAGAGAAAAAAAAACAGCCAAAAACAACTGTTTGAAAATAAACAGATTTTGTCGGCAACACTTTTAGAAAAACTATAATTTGTTGACTAAATTGTAAAAAAATGGAAAATTTAATGAAAAATTATAACATTTACACAAATAAAATAAAATGTTCCAATTTGATGAGACCAAAGTTTATGAAAAGCTAAAACAAAGATTATAAAGGGACTGTGAGCGTAATTCAAAATACCCTTTATTTCTTTTACTGATCTTGATCTAGCACAAACTCAGATTTTGCATAATTCCCATATCTTTGCAACCCGGTGTCGTAAACCTTAGATATTTTAAACTATCTGTCTGATCAAATAATCTAAGCATTAAATATTTTACCATTTATGTTTCATAGATATAGGGATTTGAAAATTTGAGTTTGCAATGATGCAATTACCTATCATTTTCTGTTAGTAAATCAACATCATGGAAGATAAAGCAGTCCCAGTCAAACAGCTTAGTGGCCTCAATAAATCCAACATTGAAAAGAGCAGCTCTTAATCAAGAAAGTTATAAACATTTATTTTAAGTCTTTTACTTTAAATCTCATTTTTTTATTTATTTCTGGACAATTAATAATAATGTTTGTTGAATTTTTAATTATATTAGGATTAATAGAAAGGCTAAACAAAATGAAAAAAATGCAAACGTATAAGAATTTGATCAAAAATAATTAAAGAATAATAAAATTCCCAAATTATTGTGATGCCCCTTGATTGAAAATCTGCTAGATTAAAAAAAAAGTTTAGACGAATAAAACCCTTTAAATGAATTTGAGAGGAAAAAAATGTTCAATTATGATTACCTGTTGAAGGTATAATTATCAGCTTGATTCACCAAAAATATCCTGAAAAATAGGAAAGGAAAAATGGATAAGTAATATTTTGCCTAGTACACTTTCGCCTAGTACTCATTCGCCTAGTACACTTTCGCCTAGTACTCATTTGCCTAGTACACTTTCGCCTGGTACTAATTCGCCTAGCTCTCATTCGCCTAGTACTCATTCGACTAGTACACTTTCGCCTAGTACACTTTCACCTAGTACTCATTCGCCCAATACTATTTCGCTTAGTACAAATTCGCCTAGTGCTCATTCGCCTAATACTCATTCGCCTCGCACACATTCGCCTAGTACTTATTCGCTTAGTACACATTCTCCTAGTACTCATTCGCTTAGTTAATGCATTTGCCGTAGTTCTCATTCGCATAGTACTCATTTGCCCAACACTCTTTCGCTTAGTACTCATTGCCTATTACACATTCGCCTAGTACTTATTCGCTTATTACACATTCGCCTAGTACTCATTCGCTTAGTGAATGTATTTGCCTAGTTCTCATTTGCCTAGTAATCATTCGCCTAGTACACATTCGCTTAGTACTCATTCCCTTAGTACTCCATTGCCTAGTACACATTCGCCTGTATAAGATTTTGCCTATAAAACAGTTTGCCTTTATCATTTAAGTTTATTTTTCGCCTAAACCATGATTTTCTTGAAACTGATTTGAAAATTTTGCAAATTCAGTCGTATTTTTTCTCTTGAAAATATGGCAGCACTTACCAAAGCTGGAGTATCTAAAAAAAGAGGAAAGCCCTCTTTCTATTATTGATAAAAACAGCTAATCATATGTTGGAAATGGAGGCACAGAGACAACCATCTATTGGAGATGCTCTAGAAGACTAAAAAAAAACAGAGATCTCTTACTATGCAAGCCGGGGAACGGATTAAGAATATAATTCACATAGGAATTGAGTCTTTGCAGCAAACTCAAATTTTTTAATCCTGATATTTTTGTAACCTAATGGTGTACAATTTGATATTTTAAACTTGGATTATTTGATATAACAGAATTTATAGTTTGAAATATCAAAGGTTTACAAAATTGGGTTGTAAAGATAAAAAGATATAAAATTTTTAGTTTGTGACAAAAACTCAGATCTTTTGACCCAGTCTAAAAATTGGAAGAAAAAAAACAGTTATACATTATCAAAATGGTATAGGCGAACAATACACTCAAATGTTATGTAGGCAAGGGCGAATACAGGGGGGACAGTGCGGAAGTGTCCCCCCCCTTATTCTCAGAGCTTTCAAATTTTTCACCTTTAAAGGGGGGGGGCCTAGAACTCAGTTCTATCACACTTTTCAAATCTTAAACTGAAGAGTGAAGACTGAATAACAGGACAAAAATAGTTTGCTATTTATAAGTTTGAGGGAATCCCCCCATTCCAAAAAAATACATATTATTGCAGTGCTGTAACCTAATTTTCCCTGTTAAGTTCACAGAGTTTTGTTTGAAGGAGAGATAAAGTAGTATTTAAAGGGAGTGTTTGCGAAAAATTAAATGGGGTATAGGCTTAATGCGATAAAAAAGCGCTTTTGATTAGTAAAGAATTTCAAAAAGGAAAATTACAATATAAAAGAATGGATACAAATTTTCAATGACAGACAATTTCGTAAAATGAATACCATAACCCATAAAAAAAAGTATGCTTGATCGTCTAGAAGCCAAATATTTTGAATTTACAGGTCAAATTTTGCCCCCTTTTTGGCCCCCTTAGATTTAATTCTGTTTACGCCCTTGTATAGAGGCAAAATGTTAAGTAGGCAAAATGTTATACGTACATGCATACTGTTATATAGGCAAAATGTTTACAGGCGAATGTGTACTAGGCGAATGTGTACTAGGCGAATGTGTACTAGGCGAATGTGTACTAGGCGAATGTGTACTAGGCGAATGTGAGCTAGGCGAATGAGTACTAGGCAAAAGTGTACTAGAAAAAAATTTCATTTTGATTTTATAAAATTATGTTCAGAAATTCTTTAAAAAGATATTCAATCATAAAACTTAAAGATTGGTATCAAAACTAATTAAAATTATAAATTGTACTATTTCAAATTCAACAATTTACAAAATTAAATTTATCAAATTATTAGTTTGGAAATGTCTAAAAGAAACTATTTTATCCTCTTTTGAATGTAGTTACCTATAGTGGGCTTGCTGTCTCTTTAGAATGGGATGAAGATGATTTAGTAAACTCCAAAGATGTTCTTCTCTTATGAAATTTAATATGATACAGTGAAAACCAGAAAACTCTGGAATAGGAAGACAACTTTTAGATGAGACTTTAAATTAGTCCGAGGAACAAGAGACAGAGCTAATCTTTTATATCATACACAATTAAATATAATGATATGTGATTGCATCACATTCAGTCACTTCAAATTTTTTCAACAGCTCCTTCAATACTTTAATAGTTAATTGTACCTGTCTCTGAAAGGAACAACAACTGCCAATGAAGTCCTAGAATATAAATATTATTTTTTCCAACCAAAAAATATATATAATATTTAAAATCCTAAAATACATTAAAATGTTTTAATTTGAAGTTGATTCTTTAAATAATATACATAATGCAGTTAAACTCTAAATAAGCCATACACCGATTTTCTCAAAAATCCCAGAATTCATCAAATGTCGTATTCTTAACTTTCTGATAATAGAATGTTGCAGATATTTAGTTTTTTGATTAAATAATTATATGGAGCTCTTCAAAACTGTTCCCGCATATTCATGGCTATTTATTTATTTTTGCAAATACTGAGATTTACGCAAAATAGTATAAACCTCATTGACAAATTGTCAAGACGACATTTGATAAATTCTTTCAAAATATGGCTCATTTAGGGTTTAACTGTATATACATTTAATGAATATTTTTTAACAATTCTCCGTTTTTGATCATCAGGTCAATTTTATATTTAAAGTTTATATAAATATGGATGGGGATTGGTAAGAGATAATGTAATTCCCAATACCATATACCACTTGTATACACTTTCGTACACAGGGGGGTGGGATAGGGGCAATAGTACTCTTTTCCCCACCCCCTTCTGGGATTTTTGAGAAAATCAATCTGTGGTAAGTAAAATATTAGCTTTCCCCCCCCCACACCCCATCTCCTACTCTTTCTCTTAACTACAGTTAATTAAATTATAGCTAAATTCAATATTTAAGTGTTTAGCAAGTCAATTCTCGTAGCCCAACCATAAAGGTCGGGGGGGGGGGGGGGGGGGGAGCTACATAAGGGGAGAATTAAGAGAACGGAGGACCTAATCGGAGCAAATGGTTCCGAATAATTCAAAACTGACCTTATCATCTTCTTCATGAAAAGATTTTCTTTTTAAGGATTATGAATCATTTGGTAAATTAAAAATTAAAAGTCTAAATTTTCCTTTTTAAATAGTGTTAGGAACACTTCCCCTCCTCCTAATCCTAGAGTATATTACCTAGGTATACATCTAGGAATATATTCTCCTAATCCTAGAGTTCATTACCTAGGTGTACATCTAGGAATATATTCTCCTAATCCTAGAGTTCATTACCTAGGTGTTCATCTAGGAATATATTCTCCTCCTAATCCTAGAGTTTATTACCTTGGTGTACATCTAGGAATATATTCTCCTCATGGTTTTAGAGTTTATTACCTTGGTGTACATCTAGGAATATATTCTCCTCCTGGTTTAGAGTTTATTACCTAGGTATACATCTAGGAATATATTCTTCTCCTGGTTCTGGAGTTTATTACCTAGGTATTCATCTAGGAATATATTCTCCTCCTGGTTCTGGAGTTTATTACCTAGGTGTACATCTAGGAACATATTCTCCTCCTGGTTTAGAGTTTATTACCTTGGTGTACATCTAGGAACATATTCTCCTCCTGGTTTAGAGTTTATTACCTAGGTATACATCTAGGAATATATTCCCCTCCTGGTTCTAGAGTTTATTACCTTGGTGTACATCTAGGAACATATTCTCCTCCTGGTTCTGGAGTTTATTACCTAGGTATACATCTAGGAATATATTTTCCTCCTGGTTTTAGAGTTTATTACCTAGGTGTACATCTAGGAATATATTCTCCTCCTGGTTTTAGAGTTTATTACCTAGGTGTACATCTAGGAATATATTCTCCTCCTGGTTCTAGAGTTTATTACCGAGGTATACATCTAGGAATATATTCTCCTAATCCTAGAGTTTATTACTTAGGTATTCATCTAGGATTATATTCTCCTCCTGGTTCTAGAGTTTATTACCTAGGTGTACATATAGGAATATATTCTCCTCCTGGTTCTAGATCTGTAGTTCCAATCTCTTCTTCACTTCTTATATCCACCACAACCTTGAGACGACCCACTAGTTTAGGCGGAACCTCAGGACACTCCGCTGAACTGTTTAATGTTACCGAATGATTTTCTACAATAAAAAAATCACAGTCAACCTCCCCACCAAGCACACCTGAGATAAATGCTGAAAGTGAATCGTCGCGTAATTTAAAGTGGCGTTCTGTTGATTGATGGCAATACCCGTTTCACAACGGTGCTTTAAAAGCTTTGTCTGATCAAGTATGAAATAGATATCAATGTTTATAGTTTTGAAAACAGATAATTTTAAATTGTGGGGCAAATTGATTTCTGCATTGCTACTGCAGGAAAACATTTATTAGAAATAAATCTAGAAAAACGAATATAGTGCCATATTATTGATCAGATAAAGGTTTCAAGGGTAATTGGGATTGTCATCTTTGCATAGAGGGTCACTTGAAATTACGCTTACAGTCCCTTTAACCCAGCGTTAGCGTCTTTTTATGTATAGTAAAACTAAACTTTTTTAGTTAAACCTGACCTTGTCAATGTTTTCACTGTGCTTTAGATTATAAAATTTTGTTAAAAATTTAAGATTTTTTAGTAATTTATTTTTAGTGTCAAATTTTTTAGCATCTTTAAAATAAGTCAATATAAAAATAGTAAATTTACGCAATGTTAAGATATCCTAATTTGCATATATAAGGAATTGAATTTGCGTTTAACATTTTCCATTTGTCTATAGGGAGACCCAAGCGAAGATCTAGAAGTAAGGAAAGCTCAAGTCTAAGAAATATTGGCAGTACTTTTAAAATCTCAGCTCATGAAAGTATGAAAAAAAGTTGTTATCGATGATAAAGGGAACTGAGTGTTTGCCACAAACTCTGATTTTCTAATTCCTTAATCTTTGCAATTCAAAGGTTTACTTTTGATATTCAAACTATGGTGTCTGTTAGACCAAATAGTCTTTCAAAATATCAAAGAAATATCATGTTGCAGATATATAGGGATTAGAAAATTAGAGTTTGTGGCAAAAATTTTATTTCTTTTAAAAAAATCACCTGTTTGTGTTGGCTCGTAATCTTGGTAAGTATGATGGAAATTGATATAGACAAAAATCTACCTTGAAATCATAAAGATAAATAAAAGGATAAAACTAGAAAAAAATAAGATTACAAAATGGCAATGTTTCATGGGAATTTTTCCAACTGGCAAATTTCGAAATGTACTGAATGGCAATATAATGTTCCAAAGGGTGAATTCCAATTTTTAAAATGGCAAATTCCAAATGCATAATTTTCCAAGGAAAAACACTAATTACGCTAATTTGTCCCATTTGGAAAAGTTTATGTTGAAAATTATATTTTGGAATTTGAAAGTAAAACTAAAATTCTATTTCCAAATATTTTTTTAAATATTAATTTAAAGGGCAGTAAGTGTAATTTCAAAAGACCTTCAAGTTTAAGAGGAGCAGTCCTGATTCACACCGGTACCCTTTAAAACTTTGACTGGTCAAACAGACTTTTCCTGATATATGTAAAGAAATCCTTGTAATTGATGAGCACTATATTTACAAGTTGGTTTTTATTTAAGGAGTATTAATATTTACTTCCTAGAAGTGGCAAAATATAATTATATACATTAGAATATTTGAAAACTGCGTTGGATATAGAATATTCTTGGTTCACCGACATAAGGTCAAACGACCTAGGGTCAAACGTGTTTTGAAATTAGGCATTTGATCTATTCCCATTTTACTATATAGAATATATGCATTTCAATTTGCTACGCGCACGCACATATGTATGCCTGGATCCTAAGTATAGCTTCAGTAAGGCCTAAACCAACCATGGACGCTGATGTAAACTTACTTTGATTTCTTTCTTAATAGATGACATTCGTGTAAGTAATTATATGAAATCATTATAAAAATTGTTCTTATCAATGTTATATTGTTGCTATAATACTTCAATCTATTTCAGTTAAACATCCAAACTCTCTTCTACCAAGTAACACCCAATGAATAAAGAATTAAAGAAAACACAGTTTATATAGTGAGAGTAGTTTGAAACCGGTCATTCTAAAGAAATCAATACAAAACGACCTAGGGTCAAACGACCTAGGGTCAAACGACCTAGGGTCAAACGACCCAGGGTCAAACGACAAACGGTCAAAAACGAGACAATTAGGGTAAAACGACAAAGGGTCAAAATGGAATAAAATATTTTATGTATTATTTCAGAGTTAGGTTAGGTTAAGACATTAGACAATTTTTGGGTCAAGCGATGCAGGTAGGACAGGCTAGAGGGCCAGAGCGCTGCGGCTACTAGTGCTAATGGACATAAAAATAGTTTGGAATTAACCAAAAATATACTAATTGCAATTTCGCCCGTTTGTCGTACTTTTTCCTTTGTCGCGTTTTTGACCGTTTGTTGTTTGACCTTAAGTCATTTTACCCTTTGTCGTTTGACCCTACGGCATTTCACCCTAGGTTGTTTGACCCTAGGTTGTTTGACCCTAGGTTGTTTGACCCTAGGTCGGTGAATCAATATCTTTTAATGGAAAGTCACTTGAAATTATCTTTAAAACTTTCCGATTAATGTGATTAATATTTCCGATTAATGTGATTAATATTTCCGATTAATGTTTCCGATTAATGTGATTAATATTTCCGATTAATGTGATTAATATTTCCGATTAATGATGTGAAAATGTTTCCGATTAATGATTAATGATGTGAAAATGTTTCCGATTAATGATTAATGATGTGAAAAATATTTTACTTTTTCTGGAAAGGTTTTAATTCTGATAATTTTATTATTTTTCATTTTTTGAAAAATTAAAAACAATCAATTTTCAATAAAAGATAACAAAGCTTTCAAGGGTACCGTTGTGAGAACTGCTTAAAAGTATGAGTACAGTCACTTTAAGAAAAAGAAGTTTACTTGCCATAAATAGGAAAAGCATTATGTATAAAATTTTTATCTTGTTTAAAGCCATATCTGAAATTATGATGAAATTAATTTTAAATTGTCACAAGCAAGTTGATATAGTTCTTTTCTCTGTGAAGATAGTAAAGTGACAGTAAAGATAAGAACAAGAGAAAATACATTTATAATACATCAGAGGGGTTTACGTACTCCTACACCTCATGGAACAAAGATAACGTTATGCTTGAATGTTAATTAATATTTAGGACAACATAGAAATTATTTATGAGAAGTTTGGAACATCTATATTCAACTAGAAATTAAAATTAGGCAATCAAAGTCCGAATTTAATGAATTTGAGCCGAGTCTCAAAACCGCCAAAAACCAGTTTTTAATTAAGCGCCGGCTTTAAATCTTGAAATATTGAAAAGAAATTTAAGTGGAACAAACCATATTTGAGTAGCCCCTCAAATTTAAGCCGCAACTCAAATTCTTTCAATTTGAACTAATGTATTAATAAATAAATGGGTGAGAAATTAAGTGAAGGCCCTTCAAGTCAAGAAAACATAATCTCGAGATTATGTTGTCTCAAGATTAGCAAAAAGAGGGGATTAAGCATTCATCCTGATATCCATCATTCTAAAGTTCNAAAAAACTAGATAGAAGTAAGAACAAACCCCTACAACGATTTTTAGGCGGAGGGTTCACCCAATTCAGTTTCTGGGAAGAGCCATTTTTCTAAATAAAAGACTCCATTTGTGTCCTGCAATGGAGAGCAATAACATCCTAAAGTCTATTTTTTCTGGATTAATAAATAATGTCCAGATTTAATCTACATATTTAAGAAATTTCTTGAACCAGAGGAATTATACATTATGCACATCATACTTTTATCGTGTTACATTTGCGAAATAACATATACAGTAAGTAGCATTAGTGTTTTGAATAAAATCGTTGGCAAATTTGGCTTTTAAAGGAAAAATGAAAGGGGGTATAGGATGAAGCCTGAGAATCTCAGGCGTTAAAAGATACATATAAAACATCTACCTGATGTTCCTGTCTCAAGAAATTGATATAAAACTGTGTCAAATTTATACGAAAATTCATATATATGCAATTTTGTAAAAAAGTTTTAGTATTAAACAGATCATATTTAACAAATACGTAACCATTCTGAAAACGACGATATTCCACAGGACTCAGGAACCTGAGGATCTCAGGTTTGCTCCTATTATAATTTTTTTTTTTGCATTTTTAATAGTTATAAAATTGATAATATAATTACATATAGTCCGTATAGTCGGTATTACGTCACCAGAACTTCAGCCAATGACAGTGCAGTATCATTGTCATGTGATACAGACGGAAATCACATGACTAGTATACTGCACTGCCATTGGCTTGCCCTTTCATTTTTCCTTAATTAAGATTAATTTAAATTTGTTCAAATCTTAGGCTAAAATCTATAGTAAATATCAATGGTAAGAAAAGGTCACACTTTTGTTCAGATACAAAAAATCTCAAGAAATTATTCATTTTACAATTGTTTAGATAAATTGACTTTGGAATAAAGGTTACAAATGGGTAAATTGTTTTTATACCAGAAAATGTGAATCAAAATATTATTTTTAGCCAGAGTGTGTTCCTTCATCTACACCCTGATTCTGCTTCGGTAAGCTATGTATAAGTAACATCAAATTGCAAAGTGATAAGGATTGAAATCAGAGATTGGTTTTTACTTTTTACAGTATAGCGAGAAAGTTGGTCCTGCTATACCTGTACAAAGACAGGGTTGAATTTATTACAGATGCTATGGAAGTTTTTCTTGTCTACTATTTTCATAAGGTAATCAATTTTTCAAGATTTTAGCCGGCGTTCAATTTAAATAGGTTTTTTGGGGATTTGAGACGCGGATTAAATTCATTAAATTCGGACACAAGTTAAATGAACAAATTGTAATTAATGTTTTGGAATAAAGTCAATTAAGTTTCAATTTAAAAGAAAGTAGTGAAGATTTAAATTTCTTGTAAATTTAACTAAAATAAATTATAAATATATGAATGTCCTTATGTTATATTCCAATTGTTAGATTTAGAAGAATTAAAATATTCTTGAATTTACATTTGTTAAAAAAAAACGTTAACTTAGATTACTCACTAGATGAATCTGCTTTTCCAAGATTATTGTTGGAAAAATAAAAAACTCTCAAAATAGTTTTTTTAATGAAATTCAACATTTATTGATAAACTTTAAAAAAGTACGCATGGACGACAGATGTTAGATTTTTGCAACGATGGATATGATAATACTAATAAAGTTACCTAGGGGTAAAAGATTAGTAATGTACTTTTTTGCAAAAGACAGAAATTAATATTTATATTATTTTCTCAAATCTTTATTTTGAAAAGCTTAATTTAGACTATTTACAATATTTTGGTAAAGTATAAAATCTTTAACACATCACTTTAGACCAAGATTTCAAGGCTCTTATGCAAGCGTCGAGTATTTTAACTTAAGTTAGAAACAAGCGCAATGCAATTTTAAAATGTATATGCCTAGTGCTACAAAAAGTATGAGTGAGTTGGCTTAAAAATGCACTTATTTAACTGTAAAAGAGTGCTTTATTCTAAAATTATCACTAATATTAATAATTTTGTCGGACACAAAAACTGAGTTGGCACTTGTGACGTAAGAATACAACTGTACTGAGATTAATTTTTAGATTCCTTCAAATGTGTTTTAAATAAAAACCTGGTGTGAACATCATGTCGAGAATAGTCCAGGAGGATTGGAAGAAAATCAAGCCTAAAGCAGTAAACAGTTCTAGCTTGGGACATATTCTTTTTACCTTATTGCAACGTTTTGTAGTGTGTGCATAAAGATTATTTTCTCTCACTCAAATTGTAAACCTTAAATAGTTCAAACTATGGATTCTGTCTGATCAGATAATCTAAGTTTGAAATATCAAAGATTTACACCCCAAAAATTTAAAGATATGGATTAGAAAATTTGAATTTTTTAATCAATTCCTTTGCCACACAATTTGAAAAATATTATTTTTAATTTATGATTAATTTTCATATTTAGTTGCATCATTTCTATAAAGTTTAAAGAATTTTGTGTTTCTGGGTATTTGATAAAGTTAAAAATACACCTAATATAATCATTGTAAGATGAAAACAAACCATTTTATATGTTTTATCATCTGAAAACATGAATCTAGTTATTATAATTGTAAACCTGTATCAGGATTCAAGGTTTTAACACAAAATATGTTGATTAATATCTTCTTTCTATCTAATAAAGCTCTTCGCAAGAACACAATTAATAAATACTTAGACAGCTCAATTATGAAGGATCATTACCTGATGTTGGGTTGATCCTAAATTGTACCTAATCTGTTTTGTTGTAACCTAAACATTCCCAATTAAATAACAATATATAATTTGTATAAAATTTTATTCATTTACATACTTCCCTGGGGTTATGTAAAGTCCCACACAAAATTTAGGCCGGATCGGTTCAGCCGTTTTGATATAAATTTATATAAATATGTATGAATTACCAAATAAATATATATAGATATTAATGATTAACCTGTAAATCTATATGAATATCAATTTGGTTGAATATTAGACCTCTGTTTGTTTCAACAGACCTAATCCATGATTACTATCTAATCTGTAGATCAAATTCTTTAAAAAGCTTAAAAAGAATTAAGCAATGGATAAACTCTTTAAAACGTCGACTTTTTTATTACAACGTATGCTGCAGTATAAAGACATCCGTACAGTGAGGATCAAAATATGATAAAAAGATATAAAAAGCTCTTTTATTTAAAAAAAATTATCTGAAAAATTTGGTGAAAACAATATTTAGTACTTTTTATAGTCATTAGAAATCAGCCTTAAGTTGCAACTGTGTTTCAATCGAGAATCAGAACAGTATAAATACAATTTATCAGAACAGTTTAAATATAATTTATCAGAATAGTTTAAATAGAATTTATCAGAACAGTTTAAATATAATTTATCAGAACAGTTTAAATATGATTTATCAGAACAGTTTAAATATAATTTATCAGAACAGTTTAAATATGATTTATCAGAACAGTTTAAATAGAATTAAAAAGAACAGTTTAAAAAGAATTTATCAGAAGATTTTAAATAGAAAATATCAAAAAAGTTTGATAAGAATTTATCAGAAGAGTTTAAATAGAATGAATCAGAACAATTTTAAAAATTCATAAGGACAATATGTCAAAAAATCATTATGTTGCAAAGATTTAGAGATTCGAAAATTTGAGTTTGTGGCAAGGACTCAAGTTTACATTAAATTAAAATGGCGAATATTAGGGCAACCTTTAAAAGCTAGAATTGTTAATAGGAAAGGGGGCACCCAAATATATATATTATACACTTATTCAAGCCTTCGCTTTAAATATTTGTTAAGTAGGAAATCTTTTAATTTTCTAAACTTCCTGCGGAAAATTAAGTCGTACTTAAGACAATTAGACAATTTCTGGGCTCGTTATAAATCCAATTTCTGGGCTCGTTATAAATCCAATTTCTGGGCTCGTTATAAATCCAATTTCTGGGCTCGTTATAAATCCAATTGCCCCTGTTTTTGACAAAAAAAATATGCTTTAACACTTTCTTAGGATATAGGGAGTTCCCGTTATAGAAACAACTCTTTTAAAAAATAACGTCTTGATTTCTCAAAAAAAAAAAACATTTTTAGAACATGGGCCGTGTAAGGCCCTTCATGTGAAATAATGCCAGCAGATATTACAGCTTGAAGCGCATGAACATTTCCAACAGATATTACAGCTTGAAGAGCATGAACATTTCCAACAAATCCCACGAGGACTCTAGGATAGAGGACAGTTACAGTGTCAGCACAGATTTATTTATTTTTGGAACATTTCTCATCTTTTTGATAATCTGCAACACCCCCTCCCCTCTTGCACGGCTAGGGGGGGGGG